GACTTACAATGGGAAACATTAGGAAGTATGAGGGCAGGAGAAGAGGGAAGTCAAGGTGTTTGTTTCCCTTTCTCCTTGCCTATTTTCACAGCATTGGTTCCACTGTGGCTATAGCTCCTGTTGGACAGTCCCTTTTCCAAGGTTCAGTTCTCATTGGATTCTGGTAATTAGTGCCTCTTGCCCATTGAGGCTAGGGATGGTAATGGATTTCTACTGTTGCTAGAATCAGTTGCTTCCCATTCTTGTTGGTTCCTTAACCTTAATCACACCTCTATAAATATCCAATTTTTATTTTTTTAAAGGTTTTATTTAGAGATAGCGAGAGCAGGAACACAAGCAGGAGCAGTGGGAGAGGGAGAAGCAGGCTTCCCGCTGAGCAGGGGGCCCGATGCGGGGCTCGATCCCAGGACCCCGGGATCATGACCTGAGCCGAAGGCAGACACTTAGTGACTGAACAACCCAGGTACTCCTATAAATAGCCAGTTTTTAAAATTCAAACTCTTCGGGGCACCTGGGTGGCTCAGTCAGTTAAGCATCTGCCTTTGGCTCAGGTCATGATCCCAGGGTCCTGGAATCAAGCCCCACGTCGGGCTTCCTGCTCAGTGGGGAGTCTGCTTCTCCCTCTCTCTCTGCCCCTCCCCCTGCTCATGCACTCTCTCTCTCTCTCTCTCTCTGTAAAATAAATAAAATCTTTTTAAAAATAAATTCAAACTCTTTGAGTGTGCAGTTTCTTTGCTGCTGGGACTCTAACTGGTATTTCCCAAGTCTGTGTTGTCTTCAGAAGCCCATGGAAGGCCAATTAATAGAAGACCAATTAATGCAATATCTGCCATATTGTATGTTTACAAAGTCTTGCCTTTCTTGGCTCTTGAATTTTCCATGCTTTGCTTTTTGCCCCTTTTTTTTCTTTTCAGCAGTGGAGCCTAGCTTTCAATTTCTTCTATTAGAGGCTCGCCAACTTTCTTGATTCACAGCATCCTCAGTGTTCTAGGTTTTGTTTTTTTTTTTTTAAACAATGTGTGTCCAGGCCAGAAGAAATATCCAACAATTTCATTTATTAAGAAATACTAACTAAAAAGCTTCTGTGCAACGAAGGAAGCATGAACAAAATGCAAAAGCATCCTACAGAATGGGAGAAAGTATTTGCAAGTCATAGATCTGTTAAGGGGTTAACATTCAAAATATATAAAAAGGTCTTATAACCCAATAGCAAAAAAAGTCTGTTTAAAAAATGGACAGAAACTGAATAGACATTTTTCTAAAGAAGACATTCACATAGTCAACAGGTACATGAAAAGGAGCTCAGCATCACTAATCAAGGAAATGGCAAGTCAAAACCATAATGAGATAACCTCACACCTGTTAGATGGCTGTCATCAAGAAAACAAGAGGTAACAAGTGTAGACAAGGATGTGGAGAAAAAGAAACCTTTGTACACTGTTGATGGGAATGTAAATTGGTGCAGCCACTATGAAAAATAGTATGAAAGTTTCTCAGAAAATTAAAAATAGTACTACCATATGATTCATCAGTCCCACTCCTGGGTGTATATTTAAAAGAAATGAAAATAATATCGAAGAGCTGTCTGCACTTCCATGTTCATTGCAGCATTATTCACAATGGCCAAGTTATGGAAACAACCTGTCTGTCAACAAATGAATGGATAAAGGAGATGTGAGATACATATGGAACATTAGTCAACCATGAGAAAGAGGAAATCCTGCTATTTGCAACAACATGGATGACCTTGAGGACATTATGCTAACTGAAATAAGCCAGACAAAGACAAATGCTGCATGGTATCATTTATATGTGGAATCTTAAAAAAAATAAAAATTAAAAAAGTCAAACATCCAGAAATGAGGTAGAGGAGTGGTTGCCAGGGACTAGGGGGTGGGGAAAATATGGAGAGATTGGTTTAAAAAAAAAAAAAAAACTTTTAGTTATAAAATGAATAAGGTCTGAGCACCCAGTGTATAATATGGTAACTGTAATAACACTGTGTAAATGAATTTTTTTTTCATTTAAATTCAATTAGCCAACAGTGTAAATGAAATTTACTGAGAGAATAGGAAATACGTGAAATGATGGATGTGTTGATGATGTGTTAATTAGCTAGATGGGAAGAATCTTCATAGTGTATACATATATCAAAATATCATGATATACACTTTAAATATACACAATTTCATTTAAAAAGTTACTTAAAAATATTTAGTATTTATGTCTTAACAAACTAGTACTTTTTGAGTGGAAAAATTGAGAGAAAAGATAATTTTATTTCATTTTTAGGTAACCAGTTATTTACTAATGGAGTCTGCCTGTTGTATACTATATAATTTCTCAAAGCATGGAATCAGATGGAACACAGCACCCTTACCTCCTCTTACACATTGATTTTTCGTGTGGAAAAATCAATTGTTGAAAATCCAGTTTAGCAAAGATAAGATGTCGTCAAAAGGAGTGTGGTATATTCTGATGTTGAAACTGAACTTATCGTGAGCTAGTATTTCTTATGGTGTCCCACAGATGTCACTGTGTTTCCTTTGTAAAGTTAAAATATCGTCCATTGCCCCAAGAGTTCCTCAGTTTGGAAACTTCAGCCTTCTTGATGCTTCACTTCTTTTTATGCTAGATGTATGCTGGGTTTTTTTAATTGCAGCACATTTTTTAGGTTGTTCTCCTTCCTATCCTACTTGTAGGGCTGATTCAATGTCTCTTATCTTTTTCTGTTTACTTTCAGGCCTTAAAGAGACTTCATACAAATCATACAGGTGCCTTAGATCTACCAGAGTTTTTTCTTTGATCCTAGGTTCAAATTCATAATAAGACCAAATGAAGCACAAGTTGGGACAGAAAACTGTCCCATGAATAGCTCAGATCATACTGCTCAGCTATTTTGATGGTGATTTTACTCCATGTAGAATTTTATTGCTCTTAGAGTTTGACATTACCTAGAAAGATGTCCTTGCTTTCTAGAACTGGCCTGCTTCATCTGGAAAATTGCCAGCAAATAAGCAGTCACACTTAGAGTGTAAATTCAGTTAACATTAGTGACATCACTTTATATAAAAGGTATTTTCCTTTTTAGGTGCTCTTTTCCTGCTTTACCTGTCCAAATCACACTGGATGTTAGGGATTGAAGTAGGTTTAGGGTTCCATGAAACAGTGTTAAGTATTGACATAAAAGATCTTAATCTGCTCTAGATCACAGTCACCCTCCCCCCTTAAATTGTAGAGAGTCATATTCACAAGGAACAATGCAAAGTCACAAAATGGGAAGAGCTTTATACCTAAAATCTCAATGTAGAACTCCAGGAAAGCTAGCCATCCATCTCAAATCTTAAGATCTTTCTAACATGCTTCAGTTTAAAACATGGAATGAAATGAAAGCAGAAAGAGAAATGAGTCAGTACATTTTATCAGAGTGGCTAGAATAAATACAGATGAAGTGGTTGGACCTCTTCTCATCCAGAGAAAGATACAATCTTAACCATGTGTTAAGTAAAGTATAAGAACTTTTAGCAAATACTAATTCCATCCCCAGCATCTGTACCCTTTCATCTGTCTGCCTGTTCCATCACAGGTCTTCCTCCCTGACACTGTGGAATAAGACAGGAGAAAGTGCACCTCTCCTCTAGTCTGAAATAGTGTAGTGTAAATTACCAATCCCTGGTTCAGTTAATTCATCTAGTTTATTTCCCAAAATAACTTCCCAGAATACTTAAACTTTTAATGCCATTTGCTGATCTTAAAAGAATTATGCTCTACTCGTATTTCCTCTTTCATGACAGATATTGTCTCATAGTAATTGTGTTTCAGACAGAAGGAGGGGGTGGCCCTGGGTTCACATACTGCCATTTATATCTTTTTCTGATTAGTTACGAGACCTTCTGGTGCATTGTGTTTTTACTCATTTTTTTTTTAATGTTCTGTTTTTTTATAAGTGTTCTTTCTCTTTGTTTTCATCAACTCATTATTTAAGGTGAAAAGATTTGTTATTATGTATACTAGAAGCTTATGTAATAGGCATAAGTTCATGAATCGAAAGTTCTTAAAGAAACAACTTATTACTTAGTTGAGCCTAAGGGGGGAAAATGTTTAGCTCTTCTTGTGGATGGTCTGGAAAATCCTGAAAAACAAAGTAATGGAGAGGTCTGGTGCTTTCTAATTAAAATGTATGTAGATTATAACCTATATGTAGGTTAGTTTATGGCTTGACCCCCTTTTTATAAACTGTGTTCTAATTGATTGTTAAAACCTTAAATATGTTTTTCCACATAAGCATTATTTTTAATGATTACAGAGTATTCTCTCATGTGGATATGGTATAATATACTATTTTCTGGACATTCAAGCTGTTGCTAATTTGCTGCCTTCTGTGGGGGAGAAGGGTTATAATAAATGAACATCTTTTTGTATAAAATTTACTCTGAATTTCCCCTTCCTACCTGCACAGGCCCCTGCTATCACTAGTCCTATTACCTGGTGGTATTCTTTTGAAGATTAAATGACCCTATACTTTTAAAGTGCTTAGCACAGTGTGTAGCACACTGTAAGTGCAGAATAAATGCTATCTGCAGACCTTTCCCTGACTCAACATTGGGATAAGGAAATAAGACAGTTTGAAATGGTTTCTTTGAGAAGAGCACTGAGGTCTTTCAGTAATAGCACAGTAAGTGATACCAAGACTGAAGCTGTGACATGGGGAAGAGTTTCTGTGGTCATTGTTCTGTATTGGTTGTTCCCAATTGTGTATTTGTAAAAAAGGAATGTCTTAGCTGGAGACTGGTGGAATATAAATTTCTTCCTTGGAGTTAAAATATGTAAGTTTGTTAAAATAATATATAATAGAGAAACATTACAAAGCACTCTTTAAAATAGTGTGACTTTTGTGTGTGTTATCTTTGTTTATTGTGTTTGTATTTTATATTTTTTGTGATCTTTTATTCAAGTGTGTGTCCAATGATGTCTTCTCTGTTTTTTTTTAATTATCCTAGTCACGTGAACTGGAAATTTCAGTTTATTGGCGTGATTGGCGATCTCTGTGTGCTGTAAAATTTCTGAGGTTAGAAGATTTTTTAGACAACCAACGGCATGGCATGTGTCTCTATTTGGAACCCCAGGGTACTTTATTTGCAGAGGTAATAAATGTATTTTATTAAATGTGCATTACTATAATTGAAATTATGTATGTAGGCAGCATGATGTAGAAGTGGAAAGAGTATTAGGCTGAACTACAGGCAACTTGAATTCTTCGCTCAACTCCACTACTGCATAGGGTATATTACCTTGAGACAAGTCATTTATCCTGTCTAGGTCTGTTTTCTCACCTAGAAAATAAGGAGTTGGGCTTAAATTATATCTAAGATTCTCTTAAGTTTTCAAAACATAGAAGTTTAATGAATTTCATGAACCATAAATCCAAAGTTGTACTCATGTCAACTTGAATTTTCTTCATTGCAGGTTACCTTTTTTAATCCAGTTATTGAAAGAAGACCCAAACTTCAAAGACAAAAGAAAATTTTTTCAAAACAACAAGGTAGTTACTAAGGAATCAAATATAATGTCTTTTGGTGTATCGTTATACATAGAAGATCTGCATTTGAAAGTGATGCCCATCTTTGTTTTTTGTTTTCCTTTTATTCATTCATTTCTAACTTTTTTAACTAAGGAACATTTCAAACATATCCATAAGTAGAGAGACTAGTACTATGTACCACCACTCAGCCTCAACAACAGTCAACTCATGGCCAGTTTTGTTTCATCTATATCCCATCTACATACTACCTCACATTATATGAAGTAAACATAGATACCATATTGATTCTTCCATAAATATTATAGTTAGTATCTCTAAAAGTTCATTCTTTTTTTTTTTAAGAGAATTCTTTTTTAAACCTTAGCCACATGTCATTGCTAGACTTAAAACAACAAACAGTGCCTACCTATTTATTTTTAAAACTATTTTCACTATTTTGCACTAGCCTTTAATAACAGATGGTTAAGAACTATTTTTTAAGTGACAGATTTTGTTTGTTCTTCATAAATTATAAACCAATGAATATGAATTTTTAAATTATGGCTTTTGGTAATCTATAAAAAATTCCTTAATTCTGTTTTCTTTATTCACAATATCCACAGGCAAAACATTTCTCAGAGCTCCTCAGATGAATATTAATATTGCCACTTGGGGAAGGCTAGTGAGAAGAGCTATTCCTACAGTAAATCATTCTGGCACCTTCAGCCCTCAAGCTCCTGTGCCGGCTACAGTGCCTGTGGTTGATGTACGCATCCCTGAACTAGCACCTCCCATTAGGTATGTGGCTACGATTTTTAAGCATCGCTTTTAGGAAATAGTTATTTTTAACATCCATACATACTGCTTACAGTGGGTCTAGTAAAAGTCTGGTTTTTTCCAAATAGTATTTTGAAATTAGTGTTCTGCTTACTTTAAAATAATAAAAAAGTAAAATTGTTTGCTTTAATTTTAAAGCTATTTAAAATATATACTTTTGATTACTGTTTTTGGTGAATTACTTTATCTTCTATAAGTGATTCTACAGTAACCAAATTGGACTTTGATCTTGAACATGAACCTCCTCCGGCCCCACCACGTGATTCTTCCCTTGGAGAAATAGATGAATCTGCTAAATTAAGAGATTCGGATACACCAGGACAGGCAAGGCATTTTAAATCTTGTATAATTCCTTTTCACCAAATGAATTACTGATAAAAGCATCATACATCATAGTGAATGAGATGTACATTTCAATTAATTTAAATTGCTTATGTGAACTGTGTTATGTTTCTTGTGAGTAAACATAAAACCTCTGGAAGCTCGCGGGCCAGTACAGATGGAATAGGCTGCTGAAGGTAAAAGGAGCATAGGAGCATGGTTGATATTAGATGATATATTGCTTCAAACACTCTTCATCTTAACTTGGTTAACATGATTTCTGGATATGCATTGAAGATGATAATGTGTCCATTTTTCAAATTTTTAAAATAAGTGTAATAGAATTAATAACTAAGAATGTCCATTTTCTGAATTTTACTTTTCTTGCTAATATTTATATGGACTCTTGACATTTTTAAACTTTAACAAATAAGTTGTTTTCTCAATGCTTCTATGATTTAATGAGTATTTAATATTTTATAGGATTCAGAAACTGTCTTTGATATTGAGAATGACAGAAATAGTATACTTCCGAAATCTCCATCTGAATATGAGCCTGGTATTCCTCAACCAGGCCTAGGATACAGTAGTATTCGAGAACTTGAGGATAGAAGGTAAAGAATATATATACACAGTTTTGCTACTACATGTTTGGACCCATACCTTTGCCTTATTTTTAATTGACATACTGTTTTCAGATCTCAACCGATGTTTCAGTTTAATCTACAAGACTTCAGATGTTGTGCTGTCTTGGGTAGAGGACATTTTGGAAAGGTAATCTTTTAAGTTTTCTTGGAATGACTACAAAAGTAATGACTCAAATAGAAAATACTTACTTTAATCTCATTTCAGGTGCTTTTGGCTGAATATAAACACACAAATGAGATGTTTGCTATAAAAGCCTTAAAGAAAGGAGACATTGTGGCCCGAGATGAAGTAGACAGGTTAGTTTTTTTTTAATGAAATTGTTTATTTTTCTGAAGTTTTAACTTAAGATCATGAAAATTGATATATATATTGCAACAGCAAAACTTTCCATTTCCATAATATCTGAAAAAACTAATGTATCTATACTTGATATAAGGTAGGCATTAATTGTTTTTCTTTCTAGCCAGCTTCTCCTTATGACACTGGTTAGTGGGTACCAAGGAAAGATGATGAAATGTTTAAATTAAGTCTGTTAAGTTTTTTATACTTGGAGATGGTAAAGTGTTTATATGGAACAGGAACTGTTACTCATCTGTAGTTGGATGAGATTATTTCCCATTTCATATTACAGAAGTAATAGAATGTCAGTTACAGGTAATCTGCACTTAACTGAGTGGTTAATATATTCTGCTTTTTAATATGTACCTGTATCTATTTTTTCTTTCATTTTTCTGAAAATGGTATTTTATAACCAGAACATCTTTTTTTTCTTTTTTAAATTAAAGATTCGTATTTATTTATTTGACACAGAGAGACAGAACACAACCAGGGGGAGCGGGAGGCAGAGGGAGAGGGAGAAGCAGGCTCCCTGCAGAGCAGGGAGCCCGACATGGGGCTCGATCCCAGGACCTCGGGATCATGACCTGAGCCAAAGGCAGACACTTGACCAACTGAGCCACCCAGGCATCCCTAACCAGACCATCTTTCCTGTCTGGGTTTAATAAATGTAAATTGATATGGATACATCTTTATATACAATTTTTAAAATGCACGGACTCGGGGGACAATATTATAATTAGGTTAGAGGATATGCTTTAAAAAGACTGTCTTAATAGGGTGATTAAATACAAAATTATTGTGTAACAAGTGGCATATTTATTACAGAAAGAGACTTTCATTTGATATTTATAAGCAGTATTTGTCTTAAACCACTTGGAAGCATCAGTTGATATTAATAGAAGACCGCCCTATATTGAAAAGAGCCAGGACTATGAGTGAAAAGACTGGCTTCTCTATTCCTGGTTGTTCCTTCTTAATTAATGATTTGACCCCAGGGTAATTCACTGAACATCTTTGAACCTCAGTTAACTCGCATATTTTTAAAACATATTTTTTGATAATGCTTTCTTTAACGAATTGTATTAAGTGCTACACACACACACACACACACACCCCAAATTGCTACTTTTAATGATTTTTCCCCATGATATGGGAAGTTCTTTCTTTCTTTTTATGATTTATTTATTTATTTGAGAGATTGAGAGTGCGTGCACTCAGGCTGGGGAGGGGCAGAGGGAGGGAAACTCAAGCAGACTCCACTCTGAGCCCTGAGCCCCACAAGGAGCCCATCTTGGGGTTCAGTCTCACAACCCTGAGATCATGACTTGGACTAAAATCAAGAGTCGGTCATTCAACCAACTGTGCCACCCAGCCACCCTGGGAAGTTCTTAGAATTAGGATAGATCTTGAAAATGAAGTTTTCCTTTATGTGAAAAAAAAACAACAAAACAAAACTCCTTTTGGATTTGCCTATTTTTTACCTGTTTTCCATATCCCTCAATTACATCAAAATAAACTCTTTCTTGATATATAAAACTACTCAGGATTTTGCTGAATATTAATATAATATTCTGTGCACCATAGGATATGTTTAGAACTGTATTTTTATTTTACTGAAGTAGTTGGTTAAAGCAAACTTTTAATCACACTGTCAGTCTGTTTATAACTGCAGTAATAACTAGGGCCAAATATTTTCCTTTTATGGAAGAATATTTGCTTTATTCCAGATCTGTGAATGGTAAATTCATTGTTTTCCAAAAATAATAGTAAACTGGTACTACTTCTGTTAATCTTGGTGGTTTATATAGCTTCCTGCTACCTTGTTACTACTACTTTGAGCCAAGTCTTTATAGAAGAACACTTTCTAATTAAATCTAGACAGAATAACAATACTACTATTAAGGAAGAATGTCCAGATTAGAGGATGGAGCTTTAGCCAGAACCTAAGGCTATTACCCCTACTGAAAATTAATCCAGTCTTGGTGAAAAGTTGATGAGTGATCCCTACTAACTTCAGTTGTAAATCCACATATTCAATAACGAAGTAAAATAATCTTCAGTAGAACTGGTACAAAAACAGAGAAATAGAAAATCTGGAGAAGTAAAACTCAGTGTTAGAAGGAATTTGAGGAAGGCAGCAAAAAGGAGCAATGAGAGGAAAGCAAGAAAAGAATAGAAAATTAGATGAACATATTTTGAAAAGTAATACATATTTATAACTTGAAATTCTGAATAGTAAACAAACTAATAAGCAGATTGCTTTATATTCCTAGTTCATCCTTTTAATAGATCCATAGAATTCGATGTTATTGCATATTACTGGGTTGTTGTTGTTGTTGTTGTTGTTGTTTTTGAATAGATGTTTCCAAAATCCTTAGTGACAGTTTTCCTTTCTAAGTTTTCTTTCTCTAGTCTGGATTTTATTATTTTACTTAGAAAACTGCCTTTTTTTTTTTTTTTAACAGATCATAGAAAATTCCAAATCAGCCTCTTTTTAAAATGAAAATTATGAACTCCAAATGTGATTCATTTACAAAGATTGCATTTTCCATCTACCATTAGTAGAAAATTCTCTGTCCTATCTATGCCCAGTCCTGAGTAAGAATGTTAAATTTATGTCCCTGTAGTCCCTCCTCATTCAGCTTCCTTTTCTTACCAGTTTATATTTCAAGACAACAGAATATTACTGGAATTATATTGGTTGGAAGTATACTTTTGCAGTCATAGAACAAAAGCACAGCTAATCAGATATTGTAAGTATACACTGGGGCGCCTGGATGGCTCAGTCAGTTAAGTGTCTGAATTTGGCTCAGGTCATGATCTCAGGGTTGTGTAATTGAGTCCTGAATCTGGCTCCGCACTCAGCAGGGAGTCTACTTTTCCCTCTCCCTCTCCCTCTCCTCCCAGTCATGTTCTCTCTCTCTCTCTCTCTCTCTCTCTTAAATAAATAAATAAATAAATAAATAAATAAATGTTTATTTTATGTATAAATAAATATACATTTATTTATATTTAAAAACCTATACATACATATAAAATATATATGAATATGATTCAATCCTAAGACCTTAGTCTTATTACAGTGTTGTTTTCCACTGACCAAAATAGCTATTTATACAAGTTTTTAGATGTACTGAACTCTGAAGGAAGTGCACAAAAAATGTTAGGATGGAATTAGTCGCTTAGGGAAATAAGATATAAGTACATTAGTTATGTAAATAAAAGCCTAGATATGTTTGAGTTTAAAATAAATAGTACAGACAGTAGCAGCTCAAAGAAAGGGGAACATCATGGTATGTGGCTGGATTTAGGTAAGGCCTTGTAAGGGAGTGGATTTGTGCTATTTGGCACATGGAAGATGCTTGGGAATATGGAGAGAAGTTAAATGACAATTAGAGGGAAATGTTCTGGACAGAATGAATGAAATTTGAAGTTTTTGAATAAGGTTGGATTGTTCCATGAACTTTTAAGGGGAATATACAATTTAGGTAAGGTTGGGAAAAGTTAGACTCTTAACAGAGTAGCTTTTTGGTGTGCTGTGAAATGCTTGAAATTATTTTGACAATTTTGGTCTATAAAGAGCCTGCCACCTTTACCTAAGAGTCTGAGACATCTATCCATTCCTAATCAGTATTACTAGTTCTCATCAAAGCCTTCCTGGGAATGGCATTAAAGCCATTTAGGAGGCATTCTGATCAGTGATTCTCAATCTTTTACATCATTTACATGTTCAACACAGGTCTAACCTAATACCCATCCATGAGAATTAGTGATTCACCCATAATAAATTAGTAATTCACCCATAAATATAAACTATATAGACAATGAAGAGACAGTGTTTGTTATCTACTTGAGCCCAAACATCTTGTCATTTTGTTTTTGTCTAAATATTTTATCTACAGTACTCAAAATTTAGATTTATTTCATAAATCCATTGTTTTAGAAGCCGTCTTAATCAGTCTTACCCAATTGGACATTATTTTCCCATATACTTAAGAGGTGACGAAAATCAAAGCTATTAACTTTTTTAAAGTCTTCTTTTGAATTTATTTCGAATAATCACTTACTTTGTAATAACACTTAGAAACCTTGCCAAATATATGTAGACATAACCCTAGTTTTAAAACAATTACACTGGGACTTTCTATTTCTGAGTATGTATAAAATCATAAACAGATTGTGTGAAATCAGAGAGGGGGTAAGAGTTTGTCTAGAATATGACCTTATTAAGTGGAGTTTAAACACTATTCCATAATAGCTGCATTTACTGTCAGTATTTAAAACTGAACAGATGTTTTAGTTAATCCAGAAGACAACTATATTAACATAGCATTAAAAAGTCCATGCTCCTTCTACACAACAGGTATGTTTTTTTTATTTATTTAAATGCAGTTAATTAACATATAATGTATACTTGGTTTCAGAGGTAGAGGTCAGTGATTGATCAGTCTTAAATAAAACCCAGTATTATATAAGTGCCCTCCTTAATGTCTATCACCCAGTTACCCCATGCCCTGACCTCCCTCGCCTCCAGCAACCCTCAGTTTGTTTCCTATGATTGAGACTCTCTTATGGTTTGTTTCCCTCCCTCTCTGGTTTTGTCTTGCTCTTAAATGTTTTTAAAATTCTACTTAAATTTTTTTTTGAGTCAGAGCAATGTAGTCTGGATACCCAAATAAATACTTTATCTTTAAAATTACCTTTTTAAAAAATAACTCCTTAAAAGACCCAAAAGAAAGAAGAATGGATCTACCTCCCTCTAACATTAGCATTTTTTGGCATTTTGAAATTAACAGCAATAACAAAAATCTAAGCAATCTTTTAATTTTAAAAATAAAGGCATTGTTAATGCTTTTAAACAAATATTAATGTCAATAAAGTGCCTATTTTATATTAGAGACATAATCTAATTGTTAATAAGATGTATATTAATATCTTTATTTTGATCAGTTGCTTACAATATGTTAATTCTAACTTGTAGTTGAATAATATTTGATGGGCGCCTGGGTAGCTCAGTTGGTTAAACATCCAACTCTTGGTTTCTGGTCAGGTCATGGTCTGAGGGTCATGAGATCCAGCCCCGAGTTGGTCTCCACACTCAGCTCAAAGTCTGTTTGGGATTCTCTCGCTCTCCCTCCCCCTCTGCTCCCTCTGCTCCCTCGCCTACTCTCTCTCTCTCAAATAAATAAATAAAATCTTTTAAAAAAAATAATATGTGACCTGGTTTTCTTCTACTTTGAGTTTTAAAGTCAAGTTGATTACTAAATATTTTCAAGGAAAGAAAGAATGGTATTTTTTGCTATTTAGGTAAAATTAATGTTCCAGAGTCTGTAAGGTTGACCACTGTTCTTTGTAGCAGCTTGTAAGAGTCACGAGTTGCTACAAAGGCAAAACCTGTGATCGCTATAGATTTTTACAAATTAGATCATTCTCAAGGAACTTTCTTAAAGCATGTTAATAGAATTCTCTGTGTAGTCTATTTTCCAGTCAGCCTTCGAAATTAAAGTTTTATGCAGTATATCGTTACCTTTCAACTTCATATTTTATATGAAAAAATATTTGAATACTGTAGCTTATGAATTATAAATACTGTCCTTGAAATTACCTTCATCACAAATTTTATATTTTTTAAATTATTCTTGTGGCGCCTGGGTGGCTCAGTTGAGCGTCCCACTCTTGATTTCGGCTCAGGTCATGATCTCAGGGTCCTGGGATTGAACCCCATGGGCTCCCTGCTCAGAGGGGAGTCTGCTTCTCTCCCTCTCCCTCTGCTCCTCCCCGACCACGCACGCACGCTCTCTTTCTCTCCCTCTCTATAAAATAAATCTTAAAATTTTTTTAAAAATTATTCTTTAGGTTGTTAAATTCTCACCAATTCCTGATAAATGTTCACAGTTTACCCCTAAGTAAGGTTTCTTTAACTATGACCACTAGCCCTGTAGGTGCTACTCTGATACTATAAATGTGAACTTTGATCTTTATGTCATGCTAATATTTTAGTTTTTATTGATATATTTCAATTACAGTTATATATATCAAGTAGACCAAATTTTTTAAAGTAAAACTAAGACACATTTTATGGTTTTAAAGTTATAATAGGTAAGAACTTTGCTTATTTTAGAGTTCAGTAATTTTTTAGAGAATGTTACTTCCAACTGGAACTTTTTTTATTTTTAAATGTTTTCTCTTACAGCCTGATGTGTGAAAAAAGAATTTTTGAAACTGTGAATAGTGTAAGACATCCCTTTTTGGTGAACCTTTTTGCATGTTTCCAAACCAAAGAGCATGTTTGCTTTGTAATGGAGTATGCTGCCGGTGGGGACCTAATGATGCACATTCATACTGATGTCTTTTCTGAACCAAGAGCTGTGTGAGTATGCTTTAGACATTTCTCTGAGTTTTCTTCATGACAGACTTCTTGCTAGGAAGAAAGCTCTCTGAACTTTTTTTTTCTTTCCATGAATGGAAAATTTCTGCAAAGAATATGAAAACTCACCTTACTTACCTTCTTGTCATATATAAATGTATTTTACTCTGTTGTACATGTTGAAAAAATTATAGATTACCCTAAATCATACTTGATAATTTAGATACACAGTTTAGGTTCATTTTAGTAAAATTGCTTTTTTTTCTATTTTCTTCCTAGGGAATGCCATCTAGAATCATGGCTTTATTTTATTTTTTTAAAACCATGGCTTTAAATACTAACTATGCTCAAAGTATATTGTTAAATGAAAAAAGAAAGTGTAAAGGAGTCTCTATCATGTATTTGTATAAAATATTTATATCTGCATTTTAAAGGGTAATAAGTTAAAAGAATATAAATTAAATATTTGTTTGCATGTGCTTACAATATCTCTGAAAGGACATAAAAGAAACTTGTATGCATATTGCCTCCAATGAAAGGTGTAAAAAGCAAACTTTTCACTCTTTTTGTAGTTTTTGCTTTTTCAAATGCATAAAAGTAATAGGAAATACATGAGATTAAAAATACATGTATATATATTTTCTCCCTACTGTTATCCCAGTTTTATAGCTTTTCAAGTAGTGAAGCTAGGATGTGAACCTAGGAAAGTGCTCTGAGTAGCCACACTCTGTATGCCGATGTTTACCAACTTTATATCTCCAGCCCTGACTTCTTGCCTAAACTTCCAACTCTAATAACATTGAGCACCAACTTGACTTCCCTTTGTATGACTAATAAGTATTTCTCTTTGCAAACTGAATTCCTGATTTTTCCCATTTCCCCCCAACCTTACCCACCACTCCCAGGCCTGCTACTCTTCTAATCTTCCCCTTCTTAATAAATGGCAGCACTAGTAGTTCAAGGCAAAACATAGGGAATCATTTTTTTAAGGCTTTATTTTAATTGCAATTAGTAATTGCAATTATAACATACAGTGTTATATTAGCTTCAGGTGTACAATATAGTGATTCAGTAATTCCATGCATCACCTCATCACGCGGTGCTCATCAAAGGTGCCCTCCTTAATCCCCATCACCTATTTAACCCATCCTTCCAACCACCTGCCCTCTGGTAACCATCAGTGTGTTCTCTATAGTTAGTCCGTTTCTTGATTTGAGAGAATCGTTCCTTTTTTTTTTTTTTTTTTTTTGAGGGAGTCATTCTTGATCCTTTTTTTCCCCTCACATACAACATCCAAATTATCAGGTCTGATCAACCTACTTTCAAAACATCCCAAATCATAAAAATCATAAACCAGTAGTAAACCTTTACTGTCTGTATTCTGACAACTGAAATTTGTGCATTTTCACTTTCCCTCTTTATTTGGTTCTGATCATGACAATTAGAAGTATATAGAGTAAATAGGAGTCCTCTCATACCTTCAAGTTTCAAATGAAGAAATAGAGGGGTTAGTTCTGGTGGTTAGTGATGCTTTCAAAAAGGAGAAAAAAGCCAGAAAGTAGAAGGTTTTACCTGAATATTTAAGGGTTAAAAGCAGAGCATCTAGACTATGCCTAGCCTGTGCTAACTGCACATAGGAATTTGGTTTTGTTTTGCTATGCTCTGGCCTTTTTTAAAGAAATTTAAAATCCAGTTCTGCCTTAAGGAACTTTTATTTTTGCTGAGAATACAAGGCATATGCAAATGAAACTGTTAAGCCCAATGAAATACAAGAATAAAATGCTACATTGTAGTACTTCAAATGTGAAGTACCTCCCTTTGATAAGATCCCATTAGATTAGATAGATCTCACCTCAAATGTTATTTCTTTGAAATCCTTTCCTGAGTACCGTATCTAAAATACCACTACATTACTAATGCCCAAATCAGATCAGTCTTATTCTATTTTATTATCTCCATAGCACTTTATTTCTACCTGAAACCATCTATTTATTTTTTATGTTTTTATTGCCTGCTCCCATCACTAAAAGGGAGGATGGTGTCTATTCTGTGTATTAGTGGAAGCACCTAGAAGTGTAGCTGGGACATACTAGGTGATCAGTGAATTGTTATTGACCAAGACGGTGGCATCAAAAATAATTTGTCTCCTAGCTTTGCACCATTAGACAAATTAGTTACTCTCTTTGAGAGCTTCATTTTCTGTTTCTGTAAAAGATTTAAAGGCTTGATTTGAAGTTTAATATTAAATTAATATTTAATGTTAAAAGCAAAAATATCCCACATAGTACCTGATACATAGTATAGTAAGCTTCAATGAAATATATATTTTAAACAATATACCCATTATTTGTTGAGTATCATTAGGGCAATTTGTTTACAAAAAATGAAAAAAGAAATCAAGATATTTTTATAATTGATGTTTTGTCACTAAAATAAATTTCCTAAAAACTTAATGTATAAAAATAACTACCTTAAGCAATTTTAGAATCGCATCTGTTTAATGGACTTCAACTAAATTCTTTAAACTTTCAGCAAATAATTATACAAGATCTAATGTGTAACCAAATATTTCTAAATATTTGCATTTTTAAATTCTCCCAAATTATGGTCCCATTTTTTGTAAAAATAAGTAAACATAAAACATAGCTAAATTATCTACCTGTGCATATAAGTGTATTCTAAAAATTTGAACAACATTCACCAAACTAACAAGAGTAATTATCTCTATAGATGGTAGTGGCACTGGGGTGAGATGGATAGATGGCTGAATGAAATACTGTGCTTTGGGACCCAGGGATATTATGTGTACATTACAGAGAAAGTAGATAATGTATTACTTGCACAATTAAGAACTGCCCCTCCTAAGTTTTTCCTTATAAGCTATTCCACACTGAAGACAGATCTGCTTTTTTAAATTAGTTCATTTATTACCTACCTTCTCGTTTAGTAAGCCTGCCATGTGTCAGGCATTGTGCTAAACATTTAGGATAAACACTGCAGAAGATCAACATGGTCCTATTCCTCAAGAGTTAATATTTCTAGCTGGGCTCAAGTTTTCCTAAGATCCAAACCCATTTATGCAATTTCTTTACCTGCCCCAAGGCAATTCAGATTCAACATGTCTAAAGCTAACCTCATTTTCCCCACAAAACTTTGGCTACTTCTCTCTTTACCTATCACTCTACACTAAGAAGGAAAGCTCGAGAGTTATCTTAAGTTTTTCCCTCTCCTTCGTCCTCTGCTGCTAGGGAGACACCAAATCTTGTGCTAATTTTAAAGTTTCTCTTGAATCCATCTCCTCCTCTGTGTTGCCCCTACATGGGAGGTTCTCATGGTCTTCCATCTGTACTACCATACCATAACAACCTTACCTATTTGGTTTCCCTCTAGATGTCTACCTACTTCTACTCCAGCCTTCACACTACTCTCCCGAAAAATCTTTCTCACATAAATGTGATCATTCTGCTCTGATTTAAATGGTCTGATTCTCTATCGCTAAAAAAAGAAATTTCAGTATCCATAATATGATATTCAGGGTCCTTCACAACTTAACCCCGGGCTGTGTTTTCAGTCTTGTCTCCCACTTCTTCCCCATTCTTACTTTAGCCACAAAAACTTGTTATTGGTTGTCAAATTTACACCTTTTTCACCTCTATTGCTTTCCCTCTAAGGGAGTAAATGCCCTGTATTTCCCCCATGAGAGTTCTATACCTTTCACACAGTCCTTCTGCCCTTAAGGTAAGTTGTAATTTCTCCAGATCAGATGTCTACTCTAAGGACTTTAGTGACACCACCTGCAGGCAAATTAATGGCTTCCATTGTAGAAATCTTATTTTTCTTACTTTTTAATTTTACCCCTGATATTTAGCACATGTCTTACTGTGTCTGGCACATAGTAAGGACTAAATAAATATTTGTGAAATTAGTTAACTACAGAATTCTACTTTGAAGCATAAAAGTATAAACTGGGATTCAAGAGCAGTGGAATTTATTAAACTTCTGATTTATTTCTTCAAACAGATTCTATGCTGCATGTGTAGTTCTTGGGTTGCAGTACTTACATGAACACAAAATTGTTTATAGGTGAGTAAAGTTTTGATACTTTCTAATGGCTTACTTTTGGTGTGAATTTGAATTAAAAATAAGAAAGATATTTTGTGTCTAACCAGCTTTTTAATTTTCTCGTTCAAATAAGTGACCTCTAAAAATGTTAAGCTCCAGTTCTTTAAAAGAAATAGTTAACACAGTAATTATATGATGAAACTCTTTGTTCTTCTTCTTCTGCCCGTTACCTAATTAAAATAGTCAAATTATGAGTTGGCCTATGATAACAGAATTCACCAACAATATTCATTCTGGTGAATATTTTATGTTCAGCTGATCCACTGCAGAAAACTTTGATAGACCAATACTACTCAGAATTTGTTCATGATAAAAATCAGTAGCTTGTGCCAGAGTATAAAACATCACCCTGCTTCCTTAAGTGTTGCTCTCAACTAAACACTACCTGGTAACATAGCTGATGTATGTACTAGTATAAACTCCTTATCAAGTTGCAGACCGGTAACAAAATAGTTAATAGCCCAGCAGCCAAGCAGTGGACTACACTTTGAATAGCATTGCTCTAGACTAGACAAATTCAGGAAGGCCAGTGAGAACTAGAAGACTAAAAGTATCAGTTTATTCAAACTTCTAACAATATTTCCAAGCTAAGTGTTTTCTCATGGTCTGATTTTACTCAAAGGATAAAATATTTTTAACTGAATTTTTAATCAATTAGCATGGATAGATAGCTTTCTCCTTATTTTACATTATTCTCTTAGCAGGTTAAACCTACACTCTTAGTACTTTATTTATACTGTGAGCTTGACAGTTTTTTCTTAATGAGTGGTGTGTAGGCAAACTTTAAACTTAGTCCAAGTCAGATTTATCACAAATAACAAATTAATAGAACCAGAGTTAAAAATACTTGAACTCCTTCCATGCTTTAAAATACATATTTGAGTAGATAAAACATTCCTTTTTAAAATATATTCTTTTCTAAATAACAGGGCAAAAATTATTCAGAAACTATATTATGTAGAGTAATAAAGCTGCCAAAAGAAAGAAGAGTGAACATTTGTAATAGAATATTTAAATCTCAAATCATAACTTGAAAAACTCACTTTTAGTAAAGAAAAAGTACAGCTCCTATTGAAATGAAATGATTTTTATCCTACATTATCTACTGATTTTATTGATTTTTTTTCATTTTGCATTTTTTTTTATCCTGAACAGAGATTTGAAATTGGATAACTTATTGCTAGATACAGAGGGCTTTGTGAAAATTGCTGATTTTGGTCTTTGCAAAGAAGGTAATTGGATATTTTAAAGTTCCTTTTCTAATGGATTACTATTCCTTTGTATTTGGTAGTTTCAAGTTTGTCTATAGAGAGCAAAATGCATTTCTGACTTTAATCTTTATTAAGACGTTACAGACTGTTCACATAACCTGATTATCACATTATTAAAAATTCTGTGGATATGAATAAGGTTAGGTTTTCAGAAATCATAATATAAAACCTAAGATCTTCTTTGTATGATTAATAATTCTGTCACTACTCTGAGAAAACATTGGTTAAGCACCAAATTTTTTACTTTGCTGGGACTGTGCAGAGTACATTACATAGGCCTAATAACTTCTCCTCAGCTTCTTAAAACTTACAACATTTTTAAATAGGAAGAAAATACGCATGTAGCTCAGAATCCTTTCTATATGTTCAAAAACCAATAAATAAAAGGGAATGTGAATCCGAGGTGGCAAAAGTGTAAAGACTGAAGGCGTAGGCACCAGACAGCTCCAGGTTTGAATCCTGGCTTTGCCACTTATTTGCTGTTTTTGGATGAGTTACTTCGAACCTCAATGAGTCTGTAATTCCTCTTGTTTAAGAGTATTTTGAGAATTGGAGATATGTGGCCTAGTGTCTAACATACAGTAAATAGGTATTCTCATCTTGACATTTAATACACTGCATTGTAATGAACATTGTCTGTGTCCCCCTTCTACACTGGGTAGCTTCTTGTTTCTTATTCGGCTTTGTTTCCATAGCACATGTATAATACAGTGCTTGGCACATCATAAGTATTCTGTGAATGTCCAATTAATATAAGTAGTTGGACGAGTGAATGAGTGAACTTTGTAAATATATCTCCATCAATACCCACCAACCTCTTAATCTGAATCCGATAATATTTTTTTCTCTTATTGGACTTCCCTGTATTGAACACTGTTGATTTAAACACTTTTGTCCTTAGCCCATTGCTCTTCACTGCTAATTTTTAACTACAAGCAATATGCTAATGATTCCCAGATCTATTATTCCTTTCCTAACATAAATATTCAACTATCTACTTAACAGCTTTGAATGGCCAATAGATACCTCCAATGCTATACAAACAAAAATAGTTTCTTTTCTTCAAATAGCTAGTTTGTAGTTGATGGTGCCACAATCTTCTCAATCTCCCAACTTGAAAATGTGTTACTATCCTGGACTCTGTTTTCTTCACTTTTTCACATCAAGTTAATGACCAAATTGTGCTGACATCTACCTTCTTAATATTTCTTAAACTGTTCGTTTCCCTTCCACTACTGCCAACTATCATCTTGTTTTGACAAAACTAATAGCCTCTTCACCTTTCCTCTCTAGATTTTTTTTCTCTTTCAAATCTACCTGCCATGTAGTTGCCAAAATGCTAAAAGGGCCCATGTAAATACAAATCTGAACATGGTACACCCCTGCTAAAAACCCTTCAATGGCTAAGATGTGGTACACAGTGCCCTTCCTGGTCTGCCTGTCTTACCTCTCCAGTCAGCTGTCTTGCTGCTCTCTACCTAGTACTTTCTACTTCAGCAGCAATGAAGTGTTGACAGTCTGTGTCCATCCACCAGTATCATCCATCCCAACTCTATTTGCTAATTAATGTTTGTTCATCCTTCAAACTCAACTCAGGTGTTGCCTCCCCAGAAAAGTTACCTGAGGTTCCTCTCCTCTTATCCCACCTCCCAAGCCAACTGTAGGAGCCCTTCTTCAGTGTTTCCATAATATCTTGCTCTTACTATATCACTATAAAATTATCAGTATATGGGGTGGCTCAGTTGATTCAGCATCCCCAACTCTTGACTTAGGCTCAGGTCATGATCTCAAGTTTGTGAGATTGAGCCTCACGTTGGGCTCTGCATTGAGCCTGGAGCCTGCTTAAGATTCTTTCTCCTTCTCCCTCTGCCCCTCCCCCGCACTCTTTCTCATTCTCTCTCTCTCTCAAAAAAAAAAAAGTATCAATATATATTTGCTTTCTTCCAGTTTCCTGTAAGCACCTTAAAAACAAGAACTGTATCTTTCATTTTTATGTTTGTACCATTTGGCGTGGATGCCTAGAACTTAACAGGTACACAGAAAATATATATTGAATAACCAGACTTATGAAACATGTTTTTCTTCATTATCATAAAAATATGTAATACATTATAATAATAATAGCTAACAATTTTTGAGCATTTACTATATGCCAAGCACTTTACTAAATCCTTCATAGGCATGATCTCCTTTAATTTGTAACAGTCTTGTGAAGGTAGATAGTAGTATTAATCCATAGATGAGGAAACTAGCCTTGGAGGTTAGACAACTTTTCTAAGCTTCTCACAGCTAACACGTGGCAAAGCAGGAGTTTAAACCCAGATTTTTATGACTCCAGAGCTTGATGTTAACTCCTTCCTTGGAGTTTTACCAATTGAAGTCCTAGCTAATTGGGGGTATTTTTCACCTTTCTTTAAAAATACCAGGACAAGAAAATTTATCAGAATGAATTAGATATGATAACTAAATTACTGTAATTGACATATATATTACATTAAAATGTCACACATTTTATAATACTACTACTATAAACAAAAGAAAGCAAAAAATTAGAGTAGTTTTATCCTAAAAGTATGGCATTTGTAATATACTCTAGTTGTGATCAAAGCATAAAAGGTCAAGAAACATTAGTTCTGTTTCTATCTTTCTTAACTAAAGTTTTCTTAATCTTGGCCAAGTCATTTAAAAGGCTTTCGTAGGGACTCCTGGGTGGCTCAGTCATTAAGCATCTGCCTTCGGCTCAGGTCATGGTCCCAGGGTCATGGGCTCGAGCCCCCGCATCGGGCTCCCTGCTTGGCGGGAAGCCTGCTTCTCCCTCTCCCACTCCCCCTGCTTGTGTTCCCTCTCTCGTTGTCTCTCTCTCTCTGTCGAATAAATAAATAAAATCTTTAAAAAAAAATAAATAAAAGTCTTTTGTAGAACATATAGATACTGTATCAACTTTCTTTAAAATAATGTTTTATTGAAGAAAAAGAAACTGGTGTGACAATGTTTACGAAATTTTGCAAAAACAAAATTTCTCCACCTTTATGTGCTAATGTATTTAATTATGCTCTTCATGTCTTGGTTCATAGACTCACAAATTCATTTGAGAGTTTCAGTCATACCTTTTAAAATTTAGAATTGAGAACTTTTCTTTCAAATTCATTCTTAATATGCTTTGTAAGGAGCTTTTTAACACTTTAGAATATATTGAGACATTATCTTCAATATGTACAATGTATATTTGAAATATATTACTGAATTATGAAAAATAAAATTAAATTATGAAGAACATAAATTTGAGAACTAACTAAAAGATTAATACCGTATCTCTATGACACATTTAGTTAACTTTTTTATTTTACTGTTTTTTTTATTTCGATTCCAGTATAGTTAATATATGATGTTACATTCGTTTCAGATGTACAATATAGTAGAATCAACCATTCTGTACATTACTCAGTGTTCATCATGATAAGCGTACTCCTTAATCTCCTATTTCACCCATCCCCCCAACCCACCTCCCCTCTGGTAACCATCAGTTTGTTCTCTATAGTTAAGAGTCTGTTTCTTGATTTGTCTGTTTTTTTCCTTTGTTTGTTTCTTAAATTCCACATGAGTAAAATGATATGGTATTTGTCTTTCTTTGACTTATTTCACTTAGCATTATACTCTCTAGCTCCATCCGCGTTGTTCCAAATGGCAAGATTTCATTCCTTTTTATAGCTGAATAATATTCCTGTGTGTGTGTGTGTGTGTGTGTATACATATATACATACACACATACCATATCTTCTTTGGGAGTATTTCATTCCTTTTTATGGCTAAATATTGCATTGTGTGTATATATATATATATATACATACATATATATACGCCACATGTTCTTTATCCACTCATCTATCGATGGGCACTTGGGCTACTTCCATATTTTGGCTATTGTAAATAAACATAGGGGTGCATATATCCTTTCAAATTGTATGAGTGTTAAGTGCTAAGTGTTTTTGTATTCTTTGGGTAAATATCCAGTAGCGGGTAAATTTTTGAGGGACCTCCATTATGGAGGAACTTCCATACTGTTTTCCACAGTGGCTGCACCAGTTTGCATTCCCACCAGCAGTAACACAAGGGCTCCTTTCTCTTCACATCCTCACCAACACTTGTTTCTTGTGTTTTTGGTTTTAACCATTCGGACTGGTGTGAGGTGATTTCTCATTGTGGTTTCGATTTGCATTTTCCTGATGATGAGTGATGTTGAACATCTTTTCATGTGTCTGTTGGTCATCTGTATATCTTCTTTGGAGAACTGTCTATTCATGTCTTCTGCCCATTTTTTCGGTGGATTATTTGTTTTTTGGGGTGTTGAGTCGTATCAGTTCTTTATATATTTTGGATGCTAATCCTTTATCACATATGTCATTTGCAGATTATCTTCTCCCATTCAGTAGGTTGTCTTTTCGTTTGGTTGATTGTTTCTTCACTGTGTAGAAGTTTTTATTTTAATGTAGTCCCAATAGTTTACTTTTGCTTTTATTTCCCTTGTCTCAGGAGACCTATTTAGAAAGATGTTGCTATGGCCAATATCAGAGAAGTTACTGCCTGTGCTCTTTTCTAGAATTTTTATGGTTTCAGGTCTCATATTTAGGTCTTTAATCCATTTTGAGTTTATTTTTTGTATGGTATAAGAAAGTAGTCCAGTTTCATTCTTTTGCATGTAGCTGTCTAGTTTTCCCAGCACTATTTGTTGAAGAGACTTTCTTTTTCCCATTGCATATTCTTGCCTCTTTTGTTGAAGATTAATTGACCATATAATTGTGGGTTTATTTCTGGGACTTTCTGTCCTGTTCCATAGATCTATGTGTCTGTTTTTGTGCCAGTACCATAATGTTTTGATTACTATAGCCTTGTAGTATAACTTAAAATCTAGACTTGTGATACCTCCAGTTTTGTTTTTCTTTTTCAAGATTGTTTTGGTGGCTAACTCTGGATTATCCAAGGGTTTGCTTTTTGGTATTTTCTATACTATACTTAATATTATTTTTGTAATGAATCAAATAAAATATTTGGAAGATTGATTTTGAAAGATGATAGAAATTGAAGCTCAGAATCAGTTTTTTGTTGTAACTTCTTAGCATCACTTGTAATGACAAGAAAGAGAAAATAAGTAAATAAAATGAAGTATAAAAATTTTATTTATTTTTACACATTAATTAAATAGAGTTACTATTGCACAGTTTTCTCTATACTAGTCCTTAACATTTTCTTTAGAAGTCTGGTATATCTTGAGTTTGGTCACCATATACAAATGTGGAATTTTAATTTTGCTTCCTAAGGATATCGTCTAATGTTTTATCTATCACCTAGATTTTTTCTTTGCTAACAAACACTTAAATTTTACCTTTTCAGGAATGGGATATGGAGATAGAACAAGCACATTTTGTGGCACTCCTGAATTTCTTGCCCCAGAAGTATTAACAGAAACATCCTATACAAGGGCTGTAGATTGGTGGGGACTTGGAGTTCTTATATATGAAATGCTCGTTGGTGAGGTAAGCACTATAAAATAGATGAAAGAGAAATGAGGAAAGATGATTGAAAGATCAAAAGATGTCATTTATAAATGACTTAATATGTCTCCTGCATAAGTGGAACTTAGGTTTTATACGTATTTATAATATATTAATAATTGCCTATGATTCTACCTGTCTTGTACTCTATACCTATAACAAAAAGTCAGCTATACATTGGTCAAAATAAATATTACCTTCAGAAAGGGTATCATAGAATTAAAAGATTAACATTTTTCCCCCTCCTCTTTTCTTCAGATTAACTTAAATTTCTGGGGGGCACCTGGGTGGCTCAGTCAGTTAAGTGTTTGACTCTTGGTTTCAGCTTAGGTCATGATCTCAGGGTCATGAGATCGAGTTCTGCATCTGGCTCCACGCTCAGTGTGGAGTAGGCTTAAGATTCTCCCCCTCCCCGCCCCCACTCCCAACTTGTGTGTGCATGCACTCCCTCACTCTCTCTAGCTGAAAAAAATTAATTTCTGGGAATAGCTTCATTTTACACAGAAATTGTTACCACTTAGGAAACGGTGAGTTATATCTAATAAATAAAGCAACAATAATTGGTTAACCTATTTTGTTATAAATTGTTGGAAATGATAAATTAGAGTGGAATTGGGAAAGGGTAAATATTTAGACAAGTAATTGAAAACCGCTTAGAGGGGCTTGGTGATCTTGGGATGCAAAAAAGAAAAAAAAAGCTTGGTTCATTACTTTGCAGTTTTCCCAGCACCAACAATCTTCTTGTACATTCTAGGTGTGAATAAATTAGTAGCTGAATAAATGATTGACCAAATTATTGAATGTCAGAAATTTCTAAAGTTTTACTCTGTATTGTCATTTAATGACACTTGTTCCAAACAAAGGATTTTAGTCTTTCCAAAAGACAGCCCCTTTGGTATGTCAAATTGGAGTGGATACTTAGAAAAGGAGGAAAAGAAATCGCTAATTAAAATGTTTACCATGTGCTAGGCACTGTCTTACTGGCTTTATAAATACTAGCTCATTTAGTTTTTCAGCAACCTTTAATGAGCTCAATACTAGTCTTATGCCTATTTTAAGGTATATAAATGGAGACACAAAGAGGCTAACATGCTTAAAGTCACAGAGCTCTCTTGTGGTGGAGCTGGGATTTTTAACTCTGGCTCAGTGGCTTCACAACCTCTCTAAACCATTATGTTTTGCTACCTTAGGGTATGGAATCCACCCAAACTTATTTCTGTTCTTAAGACCAGTGATCCAGATCTGAAAATTTTGACCTCTATCTCGAAAAGCTGTTATACAGTGTTTTAGGATGGAAAGATATATTTTATCCCTAATCCACAGTGGTGTTTGCTTTCTAAGAATGCCAGAAGTACCCATAATAGTTGTTTCCATAAGCTCTGGCATACTTGAACTCCCCTCCACTTTTTTTTTCTTTTTAAGTAACATTTTTGTTGCTTTGATTCTTTAAATGTTGCATTCATTTCTGTATGAGATGTAATTACGTTACCAAAAATTACATGCTTGCTTAAAATTTATTCCCCATATTAGAGCTGATGGGCAAAAGTATGAATTTATTACAGAATACTACAGAATTAAGAGCCAGTCAGTTCTACCTCCTCTTATCCTAAAGTGACTGGAAAACTTGGCAGTGAACAAATGAGGAAGCTCTTGTTCTGTGTTTTTTAAAAGAGCTTCTAATTGATTAACCTCCTAATTACTAGGATATAAAAGACAAGAGATCCAGCTCTTCCTTCAGTTTTTTATTGCAGTATCCTTTCTCTTTAGCACCTTTGTAAGAGGATAGTTGGGAAAAGAACTAAACTTAAAACTCATCGATATACTTTATAATTTTATAGCATTGGTAAAATTTTAGCAGTAACTTTTAACTGTGATAAAATGAGGTTTGGCTAAAGTTTATGTTTAATTTCTCTATTATTACAAATAATTGAAAACTCACTGGGTATATCGTGCATTTTCAAATTTGTTTTTGAGATTCGTATTTATGTTAGTATGGGTTTTGAGGACTGGAAAGACTCCAGGAATAAACTAGGTACTAGGTCCCCTTTCCTAGTGCCAAATGATAATGAAAGTATCAGAGAAATTTAAAGTAAACTTAGATACTGGAGTTGGACTCTTGACATCTGAAAAGACCATTGAATTCTTTTTATATCTACTTTAGACACATTTGTTAGCATTCTATTTTTAGTTCTGTTAGCAGAAACAAGGAACTTTAACATCTTAATGAATATGTGGGTATATCTTCACTATTCAGGGATTTGTAGAGTGACATTTTTTAAATTCAAAATTGACTCATCAAATAGACAAAAGTGCTTTGGATTACCACTTGAAATTCTGATTGAGAATCCTTGTGAAATAGAATTTTCCTCTCATTTGCTGCTGTCTCAATCCCAGAAAGAAATTATATTATCCCACATAGTATATATTTCATTTATCTATTTGATTTATCTATTTTGAGTGAGCTAATAAACAAACTAAGGTTTGTTTTTGTTTTTTAAGATTTTATTTATTTATTTGACAGAGAGAGAGATAGGGAGAGCAGGAACACAAGCAGGGGGAGTGGGAGAGGGAGAAGCAGGCTTCCCGCTGAGCAGGGAGCCTGACATGGAACTTGATCCCAGAACTCTGGGATCATGACTTGAGCTGAAGGCAGACGCTTAATGACTGAGCCACCCAGGCGCCTCCAAACTAAGGTTTTGATAACTGAAAAGTTTGAAATTTCCTTAGATATGAGCAATAAGATTGGCAGCTCAGCTTTAGGAAGTTGGGTTCTAAATTCATTTTCATATATTCCTCAGGTCAAAGATCCTTCTTTTTCCATTAGTACTGCTTTCTCACTGGCGGTTATTCATTAATAACTTTACAGGAAGCAAGCAGTCAAATCTAAGTCATCTCAAATTGTGAGGTAATAAGTCTTATTTCATAGCCACATTTCAACATGGTTGAGTTTATCCCTTTGTGCATCAAATTGTTATACTGAATGTAATTTAACTACTTTTTTTATTAGTATCATTATGAACAACAGTTTTAATACTCTGCTTACTGAAATGCCCTAAGACTGGTTGTATATAGAGCTTAAATTAAAAATGCCTAGAAATGTTTGCTTTTGAGTTTAATTTTGTTGGCAGCTGCTTCTTAGTCATTATACCTGCAGATCTCTCATTGTATTTTGCTGATTAATTTTCTATTGACTGAAATTCAAAGCACATCTATGTCAGATGTATTCCCACAAACTCTGTGCTGCTCTGGCTACACTTATTACCATATTTACCCATTTCCTTCTGTCTTTCCACAAGATTGAGCTTCTTGAGGAACATGTCGATTATCTAAATATTTTTCAGTATCTAGTAGACACTCAAAATATTGACTTTCAGGCCAGATAAATGAATAATGAATAAAATAAAATGGAATGGAATTAAATTAAATTAAAAATGATGTTATATAATATAACCAAATTTGTTATTGAGGTCTGGGAAATAAAGTTGAAGAACATTTCAATGAGAGTATATGGTGTATCATCTGGGTAATAGTTTTATTGTGTATCTTTTGTGGCTTCTTGTAGTCCTTGTTTTTTTGGTCTTTTGGTAGTTTGGTTTGTTTTCTTCACTACCTGGTTCTTGGTTGTACTTTGGATAGGTGATAAGATTTTACAGTACTGAAATTCATTTTGACTTACTCGAAGATATTTCTTTTAGTCTCCCTTTCCTGGTGATGATGAAGAGGAGGTTTTTGACAGTATTGTAAATGATGAAGTAAGGTATCCAAGGTTCTTATCTACAGAAGCCATATCAATAATGAGAAGGGTAAGAATTAATGATTTATAAACTACTTAAATTTCTTCCATTGAAGGACATTTCTCAGAATTTTAGAAGTTGTTTTTCACTTCATAGATGTTGCATGGTTTAGACAAACACATACCAAGAGAACATCTAAATCTTTGCAGGTTATGAGAACCTTTATCAGTGAAGTCACTGGTTTTATTTTAACTTTTATATTTTATGTTGTGTTAGCTATTAAGAAGAAATCCTGAGCGGCGCCTTGGAGCTGGTGAGAAAGATGCGGAGGATGTAAAAAAGCACCCATTTTTCCGGGTAAGTGTGAAAGTTTAAAATTTTTTGTGAAACCAGCAATTAGGTGTAGGAAACTAAACTGGTCATTTTATATTTTGTAATCCAGCTAATTGATTGGAGTGCTCTCATGGACAAAAAAGTCAAGCCGCCATTTGTACCTACCATTAGAGGACGAGAAGATGTTAGCAATTTTGATGATGAATTTACCTCAGAAGCACCTATTCTGACTCCACCTCGAGAACCAAGGATACTTTCAGAAGAGGAGCAAGAAATGTTCAGAGATTTTGACTACATTGCTGATTGGTGTTAAGTTCCTAGACACTGTGAAACCAAGCAAACTGACTCACAAGAAGACCTCTTAACAATAGCAACCCTTCATTTGCTCTCTGTGCCACCAGTAGCTTCTGAGTTTTTTGTTTAAACACATGAAGATTTCTTTAAAAGTACCATTCTAAAACCTTCTTGAAAGTGGCTTCTTAATGTATTTTCAACGTAAATCTGAGCACTGGAAACAGTTTCATGGAGTTTAAGTGGAGTGAACTTCGGCCATGAAAACCTATCACAAATGAATACTTTTGGATCAATAGTCTATTTTTAAAAAAAAAGGCAAAAAAAAAAACCACTCTTCCACAGTCCCTAGCTATGCCTTAAGTGGAAGGAAGATTAATCATTTCACTTCATTTTTAGCTATATTTTACAAAAAGAACAAAAGGGCTTGGGATGCTATTACTAATTACACATAGTAATTCTGTTTGAATAAGGCAAATGCTCTTATTTTTTTTATTGAAATTACTGTAATATCAAAAAAATGTGGTTTGTGCACATTTTTTGGCTTTTAAAAAACGAATTGATGTTTTATAAATTTTCTATATTTATTAGGAGAAAATTTTTATCGCCTTATCTTTACCAACCATGTAACAATCCTCATAGCTTTCCAGCAGAGCTACTTGCCAAACAGTTTTTTGTTTATTAAACCATGCTGAAACAAACAAGAACAACTAAACATCAGCATTTACTTAAAATTTTAAGAATGAGGACTTATTAGCCTGAACCAAGATACTGTATTACCTGTATGCATTCCCAAAGTCTAGACACTTGATATGTTCAATCATACCTTCTTCCAAAATCAGTGAACTAATTACTCCTTTTTTGATATTCATTGTACATTTATCAACCCAGTTCATCTTGTTCTTGTGTCTACTGTAGAAGGAAACTATATCTGTTAAAACATAGGGATTATCATTGTATACATGCTGTGAACATGTATATGTGCAAGTTGTAATGTATTCTGTGTTGTAGGTTTATTATTTAATTTCACCACTTCATCACTTTTGTACAGTGGCCAAGCAGACACCTCAAACTCCAGCATTTACGTTAAGTGCATTTGTACATTCTAGGCCACTGGATCCAGATTTTATATTGGCAGTTACTGAGGGCAAAAGCAATATATTGTAACAGAATGTATAAATATTTTTGATAAAACAGTCTATATTTTATAAAAACTATGATAACACTAAAGCTGTACCTCAAAAGTCTCAAAAATAATTTGATCAAATGCTTTTTACAACTTTCCAGAGGATCCATTTGTGGCTTTTTTAATGCTCTTATAGGAAAGTCTTTTGGCAAGCCGTGACTCTTCCACTTGCCTGGAGTTTTTTGGGTTTTTTGTTGTTATTGTTAGTTTTTGCATTCTTTTCCTCCTAGTCTATGACTTCACTGTTTTTCCTTAATTCAATAATACATCCTTGATTCTGTGCTGAGCATGTTAGGGTCATCATATCTCAGGAATAGCAAATTGTTAACCATACTGAATTAACCATTTAATCACAATGATCTCATGTCTTAAAAATTGTTCAAATTTAAATTCTATGAGAAGCATAAAAGCACATTGATTTATAGAAAGTTTATAAATATTTCAGCCATGCTAGGGTGTGTTGACATGTTTTTGTGTACTCTGAGGACAATTAAAATTGTTCAGAGATAATTCATATTTCCTTCCAAATTAATTATTACCCAGGATTCTTTGGGGAAAAAATCTTACAGAAACAGGGAGCAATATGTTCTAAAGTTATTTTAAAATGCCAGTTAACTTCCTTGTTAAAGGACAGTAGAGGATCTTAGCTTAATTGTCTGGCTTTAATTTACACAGTGTTAACATGAAAAAAACACTAAATACTTTTGAGGTACAGTCTGCTCACCATTTCTGGTTCTCAAATATGCATAGAAAGCAATGTCTAAAATAGGCTTTTAGCATTAAAAACTGACATAGCATTTTGTAACTACACAGTGTACAGAAATTTTTTTTTAATTGAAGTCAATCACTAAAAAAAATTAGAGGGCAGGGTATATCACACAATTAAGCTGAAGAAAGCACTAATATTTTCTGTAGTTTTAAATATATATATATATTTTAGATTTTAAAATTTTAAACTCTATAGAGTGTAAATATATTTTGCTATTACTGTATGTGTAAGTGACTGCTCAAGCACTTTGTAAGGAGATTATTAGTATATTTTAGAATGGTACACTATGCATTCAAATGAAATGTGCCTTTATGTCATTCTAAGAAAAAAGTGTTTTGCAGTCATAAGTTACCACGAATGCACAAATTAAAGTTTAAATAGATTATAATTTGTAACTTTGGTTTTAAGTATTATTTCCCTTTGGAAGCTTCCTGTTGGTCAAAATATGTATTAGCCCTACTATATTCAAGATCTCAAAGACAAACTTTGCTTAGCTTTCTTGCAAGTGCTTTTTGTCCTGGTAGGGCAAAATCTGATTCAGAGCAAATTGTCCACTTCACTGGAAGTAATGGGAAAAGTTTGCATTCTACCTCAGTAATATCAATGGCATCTTTTATTCAGTGGATATTATAGGATGCCTTCTGTGTGCTATATACTGAGGATATAAAGATGAAAAAAAAAATCAAAGTCTTAATAAATGAAAAACAGTGTGCATTAAAATGCAGGCACCAGTAATATGTGTAGCATTCTCTTGTTTGAGGTTAACTTTATTTTAGGACCTGACCTTTCAGAAAACAGGTAAATGAAAACAGAATGCTAGTCATTGTATAGTCACCTTATTCAAATATTGCAAATGGAATATTTTAGGAATATAAAATGATCCATGCTATCCCTATAACACAAACTGAGGTCACAGTAGAAATTATCATTATATGTTGACTAGGTGAAAGCTGCATTATAGATTCAAATCTTAACAGAATTTTTACAGGTGTTGTTGATCTTCCCAAAGCAACTGAGGGTGAGTATGAGAAACCCAAAGGAACAAATACCAATTCATGGATCATAATCTTAATTAGAAATCTTGTTTACCTTCCAGCTATCTTTTGAAATCTAATGTATCTCTGAGATACTGGCCTTATATGTATATAAATATATGTATTTATAAACATCTATAAATATATACATGTATAAATAGAGGTAAGTTTTTAAATAACTTGTAAGTGTCAGAAATCTTGCATTATTTCCACTTCTAGTATCATGACTAAGTTCCTAAGACCTCCAATAAGACACATAATTTGAGGCACTGCTGGTCTCATTAAAGGTAAGAGTGGTGTCTGGCAGTCCCTCACCCCAAAACAGACACACTTGAGCATGAATCTGGATAAGCTGGGGCTTTAGCACCTAAGAATTAAGAAGTGCTCAATCACAAAAATGAGCACTCAGAAGTTGGGTTTGGAAGCTGAGTCCACAGAGTAGGCCAGAGAAGTAGGAAGTTGGAGAAGAGGGTAAGAGCCAGAATGGCAAGGAACTAGCTTTGGAAATGAAGGCATTCAGAAGAAGTGAGTTTGCCAAGGATGGATTTACTATAGCAACACCATTAATGAGAATAACAAACCTTGCAATAGCAGTAGAACTTAACGTTTTGTGTTAAAATCCTTGAGAGGAGCTCAAGTTTCAGTTTGCAAGTCACTGTTTTTCTACCAGTAAAATCAAATGCTTTTTGAAGAAAGCTTCTCCAGAATGGGAACATAGGACTTCCACAAATTAAGATCAAGTAATACGCTGTTAAAGATCACCAAACACATGAAAGACAGCAAACTAACTTGAATGAGCACTAACAAAGTAGCAAATTTAGACATCCCCTTCAAAAAATTGCAAACATATGAATTCTCAGATACAAAATATAAAATAGCTATGTATAAAATGTTTAGATACCTAAAACTACCAGGATAAACAAGTAAAGTGAAATTTTAAGGAAATTAACATTTTTTAAATCCAATAATGAAAAATATAATTGATCAAATTTGAAACAGTGTTGGTTAACAGCAGATGAGACAGTGAAGAGAGAAATGAAGAACTGAACAATATATCTGAAAAATTAATCCCAAATAGATAAAAAGATAAGGAGATGGAAAATATGAAAAGAAGGTTAAGAGATAAGGAAAATGGAGTTGAGACCTGAGAAGACAGAATGGAAGAGAGATGGTATTTGCAGAGATAATGGGCTGCAAATTCACCAGAGATTAAAAAATATCCAGGAACCAGAATATTCTCTGTAAAGGATAAATATAAATAAATGTATGCATAGAACCATTGTAGTGAAACTGTAGACCACCAAGACAACCTCTTGAAACTACCTAGAGAGAAAGGACTAACTTGTCTATAAAAGAAAGACCTAAAAGCTGACTTCTCAATATTAACAGTGAAAGTAGTGGAATATTCTCTTTAGAGCATTGGAAAACAAAATGTCAGCCTGGAGTTGTGTAGAAAGTGAAATTAGTTTAAGAGCAAATGAAAATATTTTTTAAAGGAGGGTTTACTGTTGAGGGTCCTACTGTAAAGGAAGTGCTTCAAAAAGAAGGAAAGTGATCCCAGAATGATGATTTAAGACCCGAAAAGGCTGTGAGAAAATGGTAAACACTTAGGTAAATCAAAATAAACCCAACTCAATAGGACAGATGACTTGTTTGTTTGCTTTAAGTCAACAAATTCCAAACAGTAGTAAGACAGTTGAGATAGGGAAAATCAGAGCTGAAGTATTCTGTTGTATTGTTGGGTTGTCAAGGTATTAACTTTAGTTAAATGTACATCATGAAATGTCTGGGATATTCATGAAAAGAATATAGTGCGTATAAATTTCAAACCAAGAGATAAAATAGTAGAAATAAATTCACATATACCAATAATCACAATAAATGTAAATGGAACAAACTCACTAGTTAAAAGTAAGGTAATCAATTTTAAAAAGAAAACCTAGCTTTATAACATTGACAAAAAGGTACATCTAAAATATAAGTATATAGAGAAGCTGAAAGTAAAAGTATGAGGAAAAATACACGAAGTGAAAACATACCAAGTTAAAGCTATGGTAAGTCTACTTAAAACCAATTTTAGACCCATCATGAAAAAATATCACCAAGAGTAGAGTGTTTCTACATAATGATAAAATAGTCAACTCACCAAAAAGATATTCTAAGCATGTATATGTATTTAATAAAATAGTCCCTAAATACAGACTAAAGCAGAAATTGATAGAGTTACTAAAAAATACTTAAAATATACCCATCCAGTTGGAAGATTTCAACTTGCGTTATTGGACAATAGACTTTTTAAAGAGGAAAGATAATGTTTGA